AGGGGGGCAGGGGAAGGATGATGCGCCAGGCGGGGGCCCCACGGTCTGGCACAGGGAACCGTGGGGGGCTGGGGAGAAACTCCCAGGAGGGGAGTGGGGAAGGGTTGCCCCACTGTATCAAGAGGATGGGGGTCAGGGGGCAATACCCCAGCTGCCCTTGAATTGCTCCAGGCTGGTGGGCAGGGGGCTGCTCCCAGGGCCCTGGGGAAGGGGGGAATTGGCATCAGCTGGGGTTGAAGGGGGGATTGTTATAATTTCCCAGGAGGGGAGTGGGGAAGGGTTGCCCCACTGTATCAAGAGGATGGGGGTCAGGGGGCAATACCCCAGCTGCCCTTGAATTGCTCCAGGCTGGTGGGCAGGGGGCTGCTCCCAGGGCCCTGGGGAAGGGGGGAATTGGCATCAGCTGGGGTTGAAGGGGGGATTGTTATAATTAGACCCCACTCCCCTCCCAGAGCCGGGGGGAGAGCCCAGCAGTCCTGGCTCCCAGCCCCCCCTGCTCTAACCACTAGACCCCACTCCCCTCCCAGAGCCGGGGGGAGAGCCCAGCAGTCCTGGCTCCCAGCCCCCCCTGCTCTAACCACTAGACCCCACTCCCCTCCCAGAGCCGGGGGGAGAGCCCAGCAGTCCTGGCTCCCAGCCCCCCCTGCTCTAACCACTAGACCCCACTCCCCTCCCAGAGCCGGGGGGAGAGCCCAGCAGTCCTGGCTCCCAGCCCCCCCTGCTCTAACCACTAGACCCCACTCCCCTCCCAGAGCCGGGGGGAGAGCCCAGCAGTCCTGGCTCCCAGCCCCCCCTGCTCTAACCACTAGACCCCACTCCCCTCCCAGAGCCGGGGGGAGAGCCCAGCAGTCCTGGCTCCCAGCCCCCCCTGCTCTAACCACTAGACCCCACTCCCCTCCCAGAGCCGGGGGGAGAGCCCAGCAGTCCTGGCTCCCAGCCCCCCCTGCTCTAACCACTAGACCCCACTCCCCTCCCAGAGCCGGGGGGAGAGCCCAGCAGTCCTGGCTCCCAGCCCCCCCTGCTCTAACCACTAGACCCCACTCCCCTCCCAGAGCCGGGGGGAGAGCCCAGCAGTCCTGGCTCCCAGCCCCCCCTGCTCTAACCACTAGACCCCACTCCCCTCCCAGAGCCGGGGGGAGAGCCCAGCAGTCCTGGCTCCCAGCCCCCCCTGCTCTAACCACTAGACCCCACTCCCCTCCCAGAGCCGGGGGGAGAGCCCAGCAGTCCTGGCTCCCAGCCCCCCCTGCTCTAACCACTAGACCCCACTCCCCTCCCAGAGCCGGGGGGAGAGCCCAGCAGTCCTGGCTCCCAGCCCCCCCTGCTCTAACCACTAGACCCCACTCCCCTCCCAGAGCCGGGGGGAGAGCCCAGCAGTCCTGGCTCCCAGCCCCCCCTGCTCTAACCACTAGACCCCACTCCCCTCCCAGAGCCGGGGGGAGAGCCCAGCAGTCCTGGCTCCCAGCCCCCCCTGCTCTAACCACTAGACCCCACTCCCCTCCCAGAGCCGGGGGGAGAGCCCAGCAGTCCTGGCTCCCAGCCCCCCCTGCTCTAACCACTAGACCCCACTCCCCTCCCAGAGCCGGGGGGAGAGCCCAGCAGTCCTGGCTCCCAGCCCCCCCTGCTCTAACCACTAGACCCCACTCCCCTCCCAGAGCCGGGGGGAGAGCCCAGCAGTCCTGGCTCCCAGCCCCCCCTGCTCTAACCACTAGACCCCACTCCCCTCCCAGAGCCGGGGGGAGAGCCCAGCAGTCCTGGCTCCCAGCCCCCCCTGCTCTAACCACTAGACCCCACTCCCCTCCCAGAGCCGGGGGGAGAGCCCAGCAGTCCTGGCTCCCAGCCCCCCCTGCTCTAACCACTAGACCCCACTCCCCTCCCAGAGCCGGGGGGAGAGCCCAGCAGTCCTGGCTCCCAGCCCCCCCTGCTCTAACCACTAGACCCCACTCCCCTCCCAGAGCCGGGGGGAGAGCCCAGCAGTCCTGGCTCCCAGCCCCCCCTGCTCTAACCACTAGACCCCACTCCCCTCCCAGAGCCGGGGGGAGAGCCCAGCAGTCCTGGCTCCCAGCCCCCCCTGCTCTAACCACTAGACCCCACTCCCCTCCCAGAGCCGGGGGGAGAGCCCAGCAGTCCTGGCTCCCAGCCCCCCCTGCTCTAACCACTAGACCCCACTCCCCTCCCAGAGCCGGGGGGAGAGCCCAGCAGTCCTGGCTCCCAGCCCCCCCTGCTCTAACCACTAGACCCCACTCCCCTCCCAGAGCCGGGGGGAGAGCCCAGCAGTCCTGGCTCCCAGCCCCCCCTGCTCTAACCACTAGACCCCACTCCCCTCCCAGAGCCGGGGGGAGAGCCCAGCAGTCCTGGCTCCCAGCCCCCCCTGCTCTAACCACTAGACCCCACTCCCCTCCCAGAGCCGGGGGGAGAGCCCAGCAGTCCTGGCTCCCAGCCCCCCCTGCTCTAACCACTAGACCCCACTCCCCTCCCAGAGCCGGGGGGAGAGCCCAGCAGTCCTGGCTCCCAGCCCCCCCTGCTCTAACCACTAGACCCCACTCCCCTCCCAGAGCCGGGGGGAGAGCCCAGCAGTCCTGGCTCCCAGCCCCCCCTGCTCTAACCACTAGACCCCACTCCCCTCCCAGAGCCGGGGGGAGAGCCCAGCAGTCCTGGCTCCCAGCCCCCCCTGCTCTAACCACTAGACCCCACTCCCCTCCCAGAGCCGGGGGGAGAGCCCAGCAGTCCTGGCTCCCAGCCCCCCCTGCTCTAACCACTAGACCCCACTCCCCTCCCAGAGCCGGGGGGAGAGCCCAGCAGTCCTGGCTCCCAGCCCCCCCTGCTCTAACCACTAGACCCCACTCCCCTCCCAGAGCCGGGGGGAGAGCCCAGCAGTCCTGGCTCCCAGCCCCCCCTGCTCTAACCACTAGACCCCACTCCCCTCCCAGAGCCGGGGGGAGAGCCCAGCAGTCCTGGCTCCCAGCCCCCCCTGCTCTAACCACTAGACCCCACTCCCCTCCCAGAGCCGGGGGGAGAGCCCAGCAGTCCTGGCTCCCAGCCCCCCCTGCTCTAACCACTAGACCCCACTCCCCTCCCAGAGCCGGGGGGAGAGCCCAGCAGTCCTGGCTCCCAGCCCCCCCTGCTCTAACCACTAGACCCCACTCCCCTCCCAGAGCCGGGGGGAGAGCCCAGCAGTCCTGGCTCCCAGCCCCCCCTGCTCTAACCACTAGACCCCACTCCCCTCCCAGAGCCGGGGGGAGAGCCCAGCAGTCCTGGCTCCCAGCCCCCCCTGCTCTAACCACTAGACCCCACTCCCCTCCCAGAGCCGGGGGGAGAGCCCAGCAGTCCTGGCTCCCAGCCCCCCCTGCTCTAACCACTAGACCCCACTCCCCTCCCAGAGCCGGGGGGAGAGCCCAGCAGTCCTGGCTCCCAGCCCCCCCTGCTCTAACCACTAGACCCCACTCCCCTCCCAGAGCTGGGGGGAGAGCCCAGCAGTCCTGGCTCCCAGCCCCCCCTGCTCTAACCACTAGACCCCACTCCCCTCCCAGAGCCGGGGGGAGAGCCAGCACTGTCCCCTGACAACACTTCTCCCGTTTCCTGCCTGCAGGGGATGTATTACCCAGACGCCGGGATGCCCGTAAGTACCCAGAAGTGACCCCCCTCCCCAGGGCCGGGGAGACACCAGCAATGGGGGGCCCCAGTCCGTCATGGCCCCGCCCCGCTGCAGGGTGACCAGCCCAGAGGGCATGGGGTGGGGAGTCCTGCAGGGGGTCCCCAGACTGGGGATCCCCCGCAAGAACCACAGGGCCCTTCCCTCTGGCTTTCCTGCGATCCCCTGGGCCTGTCCGGCTAGGAACCCCAGCCCCACATCTCCCTGGAGCAGCGCCAGGGGCCCGGCTCGCCCAGCTTCTCTAAGGAGCCACTCCGGCCCCGGCGGCTCCGAACCTTCCCACCG